TGAATGCCCAGTTCCGGCGACACAGGACACGCTAGCTTTCTTCTCCTCCAACAATAAGATACTACAGGAGGCTATTGCTCGGGCCCAGGAGGACTACAAGAAGGCGTTTAACAAAAGACGAAGAGGGGACCTGGTGCTGCAGCCCGGGGATAAAGTGTGGTTGGCAACAACGAACTTGAAAATGCTATGTCCATCAAAGAAATTAGGACCAAAGTTCATAGGCCCCTTTTGCATAAAGCGGGCGGTCAATGAGGTGGCATACGAACTTGTCCTCCCTGACACACTCAAGATACACCCGGTCTTCCATGTGTCCTTGCTGAAACCAGTAATCCCCGATGCCTTCCCAGAACGAGAATCTCGACCTCCGGAGGCCATAACGGTCGAAGGTGAAGAAGAATTTGAGGTGGAATCAATCCTGAAGTGCCGAAGGAGGGGGGGTCAGACCCAATTTTTTATTAAATGGAAGGGCTATGGCCCTGAGGATAATTCATGGGAACCAGCCCATAATGTCCATGCACCCCGACTTGTCCGGAGGTTCCTTCGTGATCACCCGTGGTGGAGAGATCGGGTGGGCACCCAGAGGTTGCCCGTAGGGGGGGGGCAATGTCAGGAATCCCCGCTGCGACGGGCTCGGCGCAGGCACAGTGCACCGCTCCGTGTCAGAATGCGGGCACTGAGACCTGGCCGTCCGCGGCGAGGGAGTTCGCGCGCATGCGCAGTGGGGACCGCGGGCGCGCGCGCGTGGCACCAATGGCAGCGCAGGGCGGGATATTTAAACGGCCCTGAGCTGTCATTCAGTGCCTTCTGGTCTTTCCTTGTATCCTGTATCTGCGAACCTGTTCTAGTAAGTTATTGACCCGGATTATACCTGACCTTGTTGCCTTCTCCTGCCCAGACCCTTGCTTTGCCTGACCTCTCTCCTGAATGCCCCTGTTTGGATCTGACCTTCCGTTGCTGACCTGGCGTGTGACCCGACTACTCTCTGCCCGCTGCCTTGTACTGCTCCGTCCCCACTGTTACCGACCCGGCCCGTTTGACCCCGCACTTGCTCAGCCATCCATCCATCCATCCCGACGGGATCACCCGACCTCCTCACATCAGGCTCTTCCCTGCGGGAGCCCCTGGCGAATACCGCTACCACTGACGGGCGTGCTCAGTAGCCACGACCTGGTCTCGGGGTACTTCAAGTCCATCCCCACCATCAGGGGCTCTGGTGAACACGTACCCTGGGGCTTAGATACCGTGCGCTGGGGACGCCTGGCCAGTGGAGTGCTAGTGGTACCGCCTGGTGGTCCCTTACAGTTAGTATATAACTTTGGTTTATTTTTTTTGTTTTTTTTTATTTTAAAAATCAAGTATTTACCTAGATTTAAAAATAGTTTTTCTGCAACTGATTCTTACTGTTGCAGGTCCCGTGTGCTGCCAACTTGGATATGTGGCTCTCTACTGTACAAGTGCGAGCTCACACGGCATTCTGTGAATGGTCCTGCAGCCTCCTGGGACCTTTAAAGTGTCCCAGGATGCTATGGGAGGGGAGGGGGTGGGAGTTCCCCCAAAAAAACTTTAACTCAGTTACAGGGGGGAAGGAGTGAACCAACTGTACTTCACTTTTTGAGGTGGGTGTACACATGCCGTTTTGCATTGTGGCCTGGCAAAAAAATAATGAGATGTAAAATTCTACATTTAGATTTAGCCCCCATTGATGTTATTCCTGCTTGTTTCCCTATTCCTGACTACACAGAATCTCATTCTTCTATTTGTGCCTGTTCACACTTGTAAAATTAGTCGCCTTATGCTTTATACCCTATGCACAGAAAAGCACGAGATTTTTTTTTTAGCATATTCAGGCATTTTTGACCGCATAGACTTCAATGGGAACAGCTGTAAACATGTGATATGTGTGTTTTTATGCACATTTTTATGCCTGAAGAATTCCTCTCCTCCTGTAGATCTGCCCATCCTAGGAAGCAAACTCCTGAAGCTTGATGCACGTGCAAAAATGCCTGTAAAGCTCATATAATGCACCTGAAAAAACCCTTCAAAATCACCAGTAACACGCTCTGCTCAGATGTGAACGCAGGCTTTATAGAACTATTTGTGTTCATTTTTATAACATATTTGTTTTTTGTAGAAAAGTTCTTCCCTTGTTTTCCAAAACACACATCAAGCCAATGACAGACAGCAATGTTCTAAGGATGTGTACGAGGACGCATTATCTGTATTCAATGTCATACCTTTTGTTGTGATTGAAATTCTGCACGATGTGCACTTTATGCATTATTTAATCCTCTCAGTATTGTGCTTAATCAGAGCTCTGTTTATTTTAGGTAAGAGCACAGAGGAGCTTGTTATGGAGCCAGCTGAATAGAATATATAGGACACCTGCCTGTATAACTTAAAAAACACAGGGGCTATCTATAGTACTTTAACAAAATGGGCTTATTAACTGAATGATCGTACAACAAATAAATGCTGCCATACATAAATCGAAATTCTTCCAATTCTGTAAGGACCAACCCAATTTTGATTCATGTATGGGCAGGCTGGTTGTACAGAAGTCAATCTACCAATTAACTTCTGTACAACTATCCTGTTATGTTTTTTCTGAACGATCAGTGCCACCGGCTATAGCTAGCAAAACTGATCACTGTGTTTTGATGGCTGGGAAGTTAGTACACAATAGCACAGTGGCAGTGATTTCCCCATCCACCTCGAATGTGTGGCTGGGGCAGGGGTGGACTGACAACTCATGGGGCCCCCGGGCAATAGGGGATCATGGGGCTCCTGTGTCCTTGCCCAAACTCAAAAAAGCCTATGGAAACGGTACCAGGGGCATCTCATGGGGCCCCCTACTGACCCTGGGCCCTTGGGCAGTGCTCGAATTTCCAAATGGTCAGTCCGCCCCTGGGATGGGGGAATCGGGTCTTTTTCTTTCTGTTCAACCCACTTTTCCAGGGTAGCTTTGGCAACACAGGCAAACAGCTGAAGGGCTATAAAGCCCAAGTGAAAATGGCTATTGATACCGCAATGCCTGTGCATCTCCATGCGGGGAAAACACAGCCATCGCACAGGTGTACGCTATAGTAAGTTCATGTGAATGAAACATATATGTACAGTATGCTTGAAACGTGCTCAAAAAGTCATAATAAAAACAATCGTATACTCAAATTATTAAAAAAAACTATCCACATACACTAATACTAAAAAATCTGAACTAATTTTGTAGTACTGAGGCCAAGGGGACATTTATCAAAACCTTTTAATATATGATCTATAATAATTTAAATGAACTATGAAAAGTGAGTGTCTTAGTCTAATCTATCAGAACAAGAACACAAGGACATTTTTTTCTAGCAGCTCTAAAACAACTTGAAGTGATTCTAAAGGCTTTTTTTTTTAAAGATAAAATAACAAAGTTGTCTATACCCGCTGTGTGAAGTAGTTTCCAGATCCTCTTCTTCGCAGGTCCCCCGCAGGCTCTCCTAGCCCCTCACTCCTGTCGGGTGCCTCCACAGCAAGCAGATTGTTTTGGGGGCACCCACTGCTCTGTCCATTCACACACGGAGCCGAGACTCAACTCCACCCCTCCATTCAACTCTCTCTTCATATTGGCTCACTAACCAACCCAGCAAAGAGATATCCCATCCAGCAGAGATACATCCTATCCAGCAAAGAGACATCCCAATCCAGCCTAGAGACATCCCGTCCAACAAGGAGACATCCCAATTCAGCAAAGAGACATCCCAGCCAGCAAAGAGACATCCTGTCCAGCAAAGAGACAGCCCATCCAGCAAAGAGACAGCGAAATCCACCCCACACCTCTGCTACAGAGCAGGACTGTTTGACTGTCACAGTGTGCCGGTGAAGGAGAGAGTCTGCTGTTGTCACTTCAGTGCCGCTGTATCTGCAGTGGCCGGCTCGGGAGGTGTGTATTCCCTGCAGGTACTAGCCACTTGTCACTAGAGCTGTCTCTGCCACTCCTCCTGTCGGCCCTGCTTTAGGCATAGCAGCATAGAGGGAGATGAACGGCAGCTGCAGTCAGTGTTAGCCCACCCAGACCCCAGTCACTGCTTACTTCCCACTGTGCAGCCCGGTCATCCACAGTCTACTCTTCTTAGACCATGCAGCCCCAGCCCACTGGGCAAATGCCTGTGGTGCCCTATATCCAGTCTGGGCCTGATTAGACTCTTACAGTCATGATTTGTAAAGTATAGAAGGAATGTTGAGAAAGGATTAGTGAAATACAGTGTTTCTCTGCATTTTGAAACATGCCATAATAAGGACCCAAACAAACTAGGCCTTTAGCAATGCAAATAAATTAATCCAAAAAGAGAATATTCCCTCTTTTTTCAACTACCTATGTGTGCAACAACAAAAAAATCCCCATATATTTCTAAACGTGAACTACCAGAAAATCATAAAGTCCAAAGTCCCAATAATCAGAACAAAATCATAAAAGTCCAGTGTCTCAATAATCAAAATAATGAAACCAAAAAGTTATGAATCTTGCAACGTTGATTGTGTTCAGTGAATTATGTGAAAAACCTCAAAGAAAAAGAAACTCACAATAGTGCATTACCGTAATAGAATCAGAAGAAAAGAAAAAAAAAAAAAAAAAAAATATCTTATATGTATACGCTTACATGCACACACAAATGTGTATCATAGAATTGTGCCACACTAAGTGATAGTGACACACTAGTGAAAACCTTCCAAACAATTAATAAAAATACTTGTGCTCAAAAAACTCTGAAATCCTGAAGTGAAACACTCAGTGAAATTGCTATCCACACGTGACACTTCTAGTGAGTAAGGCAAATATACCCTTACCAACCGTAGAGAAAAACCACGCCTTTATAATATATTTAGTAGAAATCCTCCAAAAGAACTTTCTCCTCCTCTCCTCCTTGCACTTATTGTCAGGGTGATGTTATAATGCCATCCACTTTCACAGGTCTGTAATCATGGTTTTACCAGGCTCCAGTATAATAAATATTTGCCATGATATACCTCCATGTATTTAAAATAGCATTTTAATGAATCTTCTTACATAAAAATATGCGATTAGAGCAGAGAACCCCACTTAATGGGGATTACCAGGCAGTTCCCCCAGTTTTCCAGGCAGTTCATACACAGGTATCCAGCGATTCCCCAACAAAGATGGCCGCTGTAACACTTCCGGTTCCTGTTTCTTACGTATGACGTCACTTCCTACTGACGCGTTTCGTCACTTCCGGGACTTAATCATAAGAGAGAGAGACGTCCTGACACCTGGCCACAATAAATACCACTCCTCAATTGACTGATGATACTCCGATCGCCATATTGAAAGAGGGAAACATCGCCCTTACTAAACCGCACAGCCGACAAACAGGGAATACACTCCCTATGCAATCAACAAATTAGGAGCATACCCAATAAAACCGCATACAGTATAGCGACTATATCTTAATAATCTAAAATACAAAAATTACATTTTAACCAGACATAATTACACATTAAATTAATAAAGCATTAATAAAAAAACATTATTTTATTTAATATCCCCTACTTTATATATATCTCCTGGTACCTATGTCATATACTAAACTCTATTTAAACTGGTGTCTACACTTAGCACCCCCCACTGGTCATAATAAATATTACCATCTCAACAAAAAAAATAAATAAATATTCTCATAAATTACACATGGAAATATAATTCATTATAAATAAAAATTACTTATCTTTTAACCTAAAAAAACTAGGAGAATATTAGTTTTAAAATATTTAAAATAAACTAAAATAAATTAAAATAAAATCAGACATTTATTTATTAAAAATTAGAAATAAAACAATTAAGGTCTAAATCCACATTTAATCCTCTAGGTCTAAGAGTTCTTAATTGAAATATCCAGAATGTTTCATTTTGTGACAAAATTTTAATTTTATCACTACCTCTCCAGTGAGCTTCTATGGAATCAATCCCACAGAATTTCAGGGACCCCGGATCACAATTGTGGACGTCCCTGAAATGTCTGGAGAGACAATGGTCTTTTTTACCTTTTCTAATATTGTTAACGTGTTCGCTCAATCTTTTGTGAAGGGGTCTTGACGTTCTGCCCACATACTGTAAGTGGCATGAACATTCTAATAAATAAGTAACAAATGTTGAATTACAAGAAATAAACTTTTTTATTTCAAAACTCTTTCCTGTATTTTGGGAGGTAAAGTCCTTAATAGATCTGCTATTAATACCTGTTGTTTTGCATATAGAACACTTTTTACAGGGGTAGAAACCTTTAAGATTGAACATATTTATCTTCTTTTTTCTGGGGGGAGAGATGACTTTTTTACTAAAATATCCCTTAAATTGTTTGTTCTCCTATAGATAAAAATAGGTTTTTCCGGTATTACCTGGCCCAAAACTCTATCCTTTTTAATAATTGGCCAGTGTTTGTTAAAGATAGATTCTATTTCTTTGTATTGGCAATTATATCCAGATATAAACGCATAATCCACCCTTTTATTTTTCTCTTTTGTTTGTTTAGCTTGATAGCTAACTTTTTGATCTCCAATATAATTTTTACTAATTTCAAATCTAATATTTTCTAACTTAATGGGGTCATACCCTTTCTGGACAAACCTGTCCTTAATTACCTCTGACTGTTCTATATAATCCTTCAATCTGGAACAATTACGCATGATTCGAACAAATTGGCTTTTGGGTATACCATTTATCCAAATAGGGTGGTGGCAGCTATTGGTAGGTATAAAGCCATTTCTGTCTGTTTCCTTAAAATATGTTTTAGTCAAAAGGGAGTCATTTTCTTTAAAAAAAATATTAAGATCCAAAAAGTTAATCGACATGAAATCCACCGTAAACGAAAACCCTAAATTATATTCGTTATTCTCTAGAAATGAAAAGAACTCTTTCAAAGATTGTAGGGAACCTTCCCATAAAACCAAAATATCATCAATATACCGTTTCCATAATATGAGTTCCTTCCTTCTATTTTTAAAAATGTCCTTCTCCTCCCATTTTGCTAAAAATATATTTGCAAGGCTGGGCGCAAACTTTGCGCCCATCGCAACCCCTTTTTTTTGTACAAAGAATTCTCCATTATACCAAAAATAATTTTTATCTAAACAGAATTCAAGTAGCTGGATAATAAACTTTCTCTGCTTAATATGAAGATCAGAAAAGTTTTTTAAAGCCCATTTAATGGCTTTAATGCCGTCATTATGTCTAATGTTCGTGTATAAGGCGTTAACATCAATAGTAACTAACAGAGTCTCTTTGGTAATCCTCATATTGTTCACTATATTGATGACATCACTACTATCCTTTAAATATGAAGGCATTTTTTTCACTATCGGCTGTAGATAAAAATCAATATATTCGCCCGTTCTTGAGTGTATAGATCCAATTCCATTAATTATTGGTCTACCCGGGGGATTGGTCAAATTTTTATGGATTTTAGGTAAATAATAAATAATTGGTGTTTTACAGTGATTAGGAATCAAATATCTACCTTCTTTCTCTGATAAAATACCATTCTTTTCTGCATCCTTCACTAGGTTATGGAGCGTTTTTTTTTGTACAATTTGACTGGATTATTTTTAATTTTTAAATACGTTTCCTGATCATTTAACATATGTTCCATTTCTTTTTCATATGCAGATCTATCTAAAAAACCACCCCCCCCCCCCTTATCTGCGGGTCTGATAACAATATTTTTCTTTTCTTTTAAAGATTTGAGTCCTAGTTGAAAAGTTTGATCTTCCTGATATTTTTTCTTTTCCACCTCTACTAGATCATCAATGACCATATTTTTAAAAACCTCTATATAATGGTTTTTATTATTGGTGGGATTAAATGTTGAGTAATTTCTTAATCCACTATGTGCGTAAATATCACTCGGGCTATTTTTATTCGCATTTTTATTTGGACCCGGTAAGGAGGCAAAATATTTTTTAATATTTAATTTTCTCATATATTTATTAATATCTACATAGGTACCAAATCTATCCAATTTAGCCTTCGGTGCAAATTTTAGACCTTTGTCCAAAACTTTCATCTCATCTTTAGTAAGAGTTGCTGAACTAATATTATAAATGCCTTCCCCTATACTTCCTTCCTTTTCCTCTTGTTGTCTCTTTGTTCCTTTGCTTGCCCTTCTGGGCTTACTTGTTCCACCCTTTCCAAGGGTACTGTTCTTTCCATTTCCCCTCTGTATTGGTTTGATGGGTACTCTTGTATCCCCCTCCCCCATCCCGGCTGATGGAAGGGGGCTGGTGGATATGGACCCGGCGGTCTTCCTCTGTGACCCCTTGGAAAAAAATTTCCCCTCCTTGGGTTACCCCCATATTGTTGGGGATGACCCCAATCATCCAAAGGTTGGAATCTATTGTAAACAGGGATTGGAAATTGATTATTATACGAGTTTCTAGGACCTCCATTACCTCTCCCCTTATTTCTCCATGGGGAGTTAGATTGTCTTTTTGGTAGATTTGAGGCTGTGTGTAGATCCTTCCCCTCGTTTTTCTTGACATTAGAGGGGTGGGCAGTTTTTATAGGTGAATTGGCCGGTGTAGAATTTTCTGATTTACAACTTTGGGATACTATATCCTGCCATTTATAAATATTGTTATTTTTATAATCTCCTGTATCTCTAATGTATTTTCTATGTTTTCTTTTTTTCACTTCTAGATCTTTTTTATCCAATTGTTCATGCAATTTTTTTGATAAGGCATTAAAATCTTTATGATCTTTAAACCCTTCCATTTTATTCTTGAGTTCATTTAATTGGGATTCTACTACTATTAGCTTTCTTTTTTTCCTTTCCATCAGCATATTCAACAGTTGTCTTTCACATTTATGGAAAAATTCCATCCATTCTTTATTTGAATCCTCATCAATGAGGCCATCATTGGGACCTAAGTCCCATCTCAGGCGTCTAGGTACAATATCCTCTACCAAATATTTTGCTAAGGTTACCATATCCCACCAAATTTGAATCTTTTTTTCCATATTGTAACCTATTTTTTTAAACATGTGTTCTACATTATCATCCAACACCGTGTGTGTTGTGGAAAATACCTCATCTAAATTAATTTGTCTTGAACCAATATAATTAAATATATCCATAATCACTTCAAAAAACACACTCCCTAGTGTTAATCCTTATAAATACAATGTGAATGTGATATCAGATAAATACCCTTTAAACCTACACTAATTCCAAATTGGAAAAAAACTTTCAACCCTTGAAAGTGAATAATCAAATAAATTATTCCAAAAAGAGAATATTCCCTCTTTTTTTCAACTACCTATGTGTGCAACAACAAAAAAAATCCCCATATATTTCTAAACGTGAACTACCAGAAAATCATAAAAGTCCAGTGTCTCAATAATCAAAATAATGAAACCAAAAAGTTATGAATCTTGCAACGTTGATTGTGTTCAGTGAATTATGTGAAAAACCTCAAAGAAAAAAGAAACTCACAATAGTGCATTACCGTAATAGAATCAGAAGAAAAAAAAAAAAAAAAAAAAAAAAAAATATCTTATATGTATACGCTTACATGCACACACAAATGTGTATCATAGAATTGTGCCACACTAAGTGATAGTGACACACTAGTGAAAACCTTCCAAACAATTAATAAAAATACTTGTGCTCAAAAAACTCTGAAATCCTGAAGTGAAACACTCAGTGAAATTGCTATCCACACGTGACACTTCTAGTGAGTAAGGCAAATATACCCTTACCAACCGTAGAGAAAAACCACGCCTTTATAATATATTTAGTAGAAATCCTCCAAAAGAACTTTCTCCTCCTCTCCTCCTTGCACTTATTGTCAGGGTGATGTTATAATGCCATCCACTTTCACAGGTCTGTAATCATGGTTTTACCAGGCTCCAGTATAATAAATATTTGCCATGATATACCTCCATGTATTTAAAATAGCATTTTAATGAATCTTCTTACATAAAAATATGCGATTAGAGCAGAGAACCCCACTTAATGGGGATTACCAGGCAGTTCCCCCAGTTTTCCAGGCAGTTCATACACAGGTATCCAGCGATTCCCCAACAAAGATGGCCGCTGTAACACTTCCGGTTCCTGTTTCTTACGTATGACGTCACTTCCTACTGACGCGTTTCGTCACTTCCGGGACTTAATCATAAGAGAGAGAGACGTCCTGACACCTGGCCACAATAAATACCACTCCTCAATTGACTGATGATACTCCGATCGCCATATTGAAAGAGGGAAACATCGCCCTTACTAAACCGCACAGCCGACAAACAGGGAATACACTCCCTATGCAATCAACAAATTAGGAGCATACCCAATAAAACCGCATACAGTATAGCGACTATATCTTAATAATCTAAAATACAAAAATTACATTTTAACCAGACATAATTACACATTAAATTAATAAAGCATTAATAAAAACAATATAGCAATGCAAACCATCCCCCATTTCTATCTGAGGGTGAGGGGTTAAAAAAGCTTTGTGCCCAGGAAACATATTGGATCTTTCAACTAGACAGTCTACACCCTGGTAGAGTTAATGAAGAGCTAGAAGTTTGTACAATTAGTTAGAAAGGTTTCCATAATAATTTGATTATATTATACATATATTTATGACAAATGCAGTTCAGACCACTGCCCTTTTTACTGGCTTTTAACAAATGGCTTGCCAACCTCACACCACGCTGTCACTGATTTGAAACATTGACTCTCTCAGCTTCACCCTGCACACAGATTTTCCAGCTCTCAGGACCAGTCTAGGTGCCAACAGACAGAGAGTGATTGTCATTGGGTTTATTTAACTGCACAATTAACCCATTAAACTGCTACCAACTACTTTTATTGAGAAGTAGTAAACATTCACTATATTAGCAATAGCAATTATGACTTTAGAATAAACATCTGTAAAACACACAGTCACCACAGTCTAGTATATCCAAAAATTTACCATGTAGTACCACTCTTCAAGAGACAGGGATCCTTTATGTTTTGCGTTAGAGCATTTTCAAAATACGGTTTAATAATGAAAAAGTACATGGATCCACAAAAGGATACAACTTCCCATGTGCAGCGAGAGGGGAGTAGATCTTTGAGGCTATTAAAGAAG